ATCTTGTCTTCATGACTTTCAATAATGTTAATAAATAATCCATCATCCTAGGCTTCCTTGACACCTTCTCCTTCACCTCCACATCCAAACTCTAAACTGATGCCTTTGCATCTTCAATAGCTCTTGAATTGGTTTTTCTCCATCTCTACTGTCACTGCTTGGAGACATCCAAGCAACATCCTGTGTCATCTGAATTACTATAATAACCTCTAACAGGACTCCTATTATCTGCTCTTGCTGTAGACATATTTGTACTTTCTGCAGCCAGAGTGATCTTTTCAAAACATATGTTTCTCATCTACTGAAAATCCTTCAACAGCTTCCCGTTGCTCTTACAACCGAATTCTTAGCATGGTCTACAATATGCATACTCTCTTTTGCTGCTTCACCTCCACCTTTCCCCTCATTCTCCATGTTCCAACTACCTCAGTCTTCTTCCAGTTCCTCAGTTCACCACACTACCTCCTGCCTCAGGGCCCTTGCACATGCTGCTCCCTCAAAGAAACGCTTCCCTCCAGATCAACAACTACTCTTCTTCAAGTCTTCATATTTCAACTCAAAAGTCATTTCCTCAGGTAAGACTTTTATGGCCCAGCTCCTCCATTTCCTTGCTCCCCATGGTTTTCTTTCATAGCATGTAGCAAGATTTTTATTTACATATTTGTCGAGTCTTGATCAATGTGTATCTTTCTCACTAAACTGCATGATCCCTGAGGCTACAGGCAAGGAGTCTTTCCTCAGCAACTAGCCCCATGACACTGGTACATGGCAGGCACTCAAAAACATTTGTCCAAAAAATAATGGGAAAAACATCACACGACCAAGAGCATATTTGGAACAATAAGGTCACTTTTTACATCATTTACCTCAGAGAAAGGGCAAAGGGGCTCAGGGGCCAGAGGAATATAAGAAGTGTGTATCTCTCTTCTTGATCTTGGGTAATGCACTTTGCACCAGTGTCCTCCATGGCTGGTCAGGCATAAAGCTAGGACACAGTCTAGGTAAGAATGAACCAAGGTGTAACAAACTTTAAGTGTCTGGAATACAGATAGTACAAGACACAATAAATGGCACAGGATAGCGGCATGAGCAGAAGCGTGCTGAAGGCTTTTAGCCTCTAGAACTGTGAGAGAATAAATTTGTGTTCTTTAAAACCACCCCACATTGTGGTATTCTGTCATGGCAGCCCTAAGAAACGAAGACAAAAAGGACCCTAAAGATGTCCATGTGCGGATCAGCATTAGAGAAGCAGGGTTCTCATGGAAGGTGGAGGTGCCTGCAGTTATAACCAGAGTATAACCACCCCAAGAAGAAAGGGAAACAGGGGTCACAATCAGAGTAACCTGGTCAGAACGTTCCCCAAAGGAGGTGTTCTCCCGGCACTATACCAGTCACCCTTCTTGTTGTTGTTGTTAGGTGCCGTTGAGTCGGTTCTGACTCATAGCGACCCTGTGTACAACAGAATGAAACACTGCCTGGTCCTGTGCCATCCTCACAACTGTTGCTATGCTTGAGCCCATTGTTGCAGCCACTATGTCAATCCATCTCATTGAGGGTCTTCCTCTTTTTCTCTAGCCCTCTATTTTACCAAGCATGATGTCCTTCTCCAGGGACTGATCCCTCCTGACAACACGTCCAAAGTATGTGAGACACAGTCTCACCATCCGTGCTTCTAAGGAGCATTCTGGTTGTACTTCTTCCAAGACAGATTTGCTCGTTCTTTTGGCAGTCCATGATATATTCAATATTCTTCGCCAACACCACAATTCAAAGGCATCAATTCTTCTTCAGTCTTCCTTATTCATTGTCCAGCTTTCGCATGCATATGAGGCAACTGAAAACACCATGGCTTGAGTCAGATGCACCTTAGTTCTCAAGGTGACATCTTTGCTTTTTGACACTTTAAAGAGATCTCTTGCAGCAGATTTGCCCAATGCAATGCATCTTTTGATTTCTTGACTGCTGCTTCCACGGGTGTTGACTGTGGATCCAAGTAAAATGAAAACCTTGACAATGTCAATTTTTTCTGCGTTTATCATGATGTTGCTATTGTTCCAGTTGTGAGGATTTCTGTTTCGCTATGTTGAGGTGTAATCTACACTGAAGGCTGTGGTCTTTGATCTTCACCAGTAAGTGCTTCAAGTTTTCTTCACTTTCAGCAAGCAAGGCTGTGTTACCTGCATAACGCAGGTTGTTCATGAGTCTTTCTCCAATCCTGATGCCCGGTTCTTCTTCATACAGTCCAGCTTCTTGGATTATTTGCTCAGCATACAAACTGAATAGGTATGGTGAAAGGATACAACCCTGACACACACCCTTCTTGACTTTAAACCATGCAGTATCCCCTTGTTCTGTTCGAACGACTGCCTCTTGATCCATTTATAGAGTCCTCATGAGCACAATTAAGTGTTCTGGAATTCCCATTCTCTGCAATGTTATCGATAGTTTGTTATGATCCACACAGTCGAATGCCTTAGCATAGTCAATAAAACACAGGTAAACATCTTTCTGGTATTCTCTGCTTTCAGCCAGGATCCATCTGACATCAGCAATGATATCCCTGGTTCCACGTCCTCTTCTGAATCCAGCCTGAATTTCTGACAGTTCCTTGTTGACATACTGCTGCAGCTGCTTTTGAATGACCTTCAGCATAATTTTGCTTGCATGGGATATGATATTGTTCAATAACTTCCGCATTCAGTTGGATCATCTTTCTTGGGAATAGGCATAAACACAGATCTCTTCCAGTTGACTGGCCAGAAGCTGTCTTCCAAATTTCTTAGCACAGACGAGTGAGCACTTCTAGCGCTGCATCCGTTTGTTGAAACATCTCAATTGTTATTCTATCAATTCTTGGAGCCCTGTTTTTTGCCAATGCCTTCACTCTTGTTAGTTTTTATTAAAGAGAGGCACCAGTCCTTTATTTATACTGGTATGATTGCTCTTACTTAATTCTACACCTTAAATTGCTTAAATTACTATTTGCCTGGAAAGTTAATAAAAAGGTTTGGCTCATCTATTTCATAAGCATTCTTTTTAATGTTAACTATGTGAACGTCTTAAAAAGACAGAAATGACACCGGATCAAATGACAAACTTACTGAGTAAGATGGACCAAACCTCAAGGTCACACCATGCATAGCTATTAAATGGGCACTGTGGCTGAGTTCTTACTACATATCAAGGGTAATGAAATATTTCAGAAGAGTTAGGCACCGGTGCTGATGTACCACCACTTTCTCAAAGACTCTCCATCTGAACTTGGATAGTTTTGTCAGTTTTTCCTCAATTTCTCCCAGAAAATGGAGTTCTGACATTTCTGGCTCTATGTAAAGGGCATTCGATGACTTAGAACAAATATTCTTAAACAACTGCAACATATAATTACCCTTTGTCCATAAATCATTGTGAAAGCAAAAATCATAGAGGTCGCCACCACTCCATGAAAGCTCAGAAGCTTAAAACCACCAACTTTATCTGGTGCTTTTTATCATTAACTTACATGACTTAACGTCCCATTCACCCCAAATATTATAAAGGAATTCCACTGCAGTGAAGATTTCAAATACTAAAACTGAGAGTCAGTCTAAGCTCAGGATACAGGCAAGAACGGATAAAGGGATCCCCCCACAGGATCCTAATTCTTGAAAGGTCGCCACAATCGTTCTCACCCAACTTTCTGATGCTGACTTTCCAGATGCAAAGTTAAAAAAGGGGATTACACAGATGCAATGCAGATAGTATTTGCAGAAGGCACTTTAGCACGAAGCGCGCCCAACTCCTCCCCACAGCGTGTCGGTGGCCCTAAATTACTCACACCCTCTCCTCCCCAGCACCCCAGGCTCGTAGGTGGGCGAGTCGGGCCGGGGGGCGAAGCCGGTCCAGGGCGGCTCGGCGGCGGAGGTCGCGCCGCCAACCTGCCGCGGCAGCCAAGCCGCAGTCCCCTCGGCTCTTCGCCCGCGCGGCTCGCGGTAACTAAGGTGCAGAGGAGCCTGACTAAACCCTCAAAAGCAAGAGCGTCAAAGCTAACACTCGCGCCTCGAGCAGGCAGCCAGCGCGGGGCGGCGGGGCGCCGGCGCAAGTTAGTTTTCCGGCCCGAGCGGCCCTGAGGCAGCCGGGGAAGAGGGAAGGCTCCACGACCCCCGGGCAGCCCCGGCCCGGAGCGGGACGGCCCCCGGGAGCAGGGGCTTCCCCGGCCGGGGAGGCGGGGAGGGGAAACACGCAGGGCGGGACGCCTTCCCGGGCCAAGCGCCCCTCCCTCGTGCGGGGAAGCCGGAGAAGGGACGTCCGGGGCGAGGCCTCCCTCCGCTGCGCAGCCCACCCGCTCGCCCAGCCACCGGAGCTGCGGGGGAGGCGGCGCTCTCCGTAAGAGCCGGAGGCGGGGCGCCAGCGCCCTCCCACTCCCCGGCGGCCGGCCAGGCGGGGCTGGGGGAGCCCCGGGCTCGACCACCCCCGGGCGAGCGGTGAGGGGGGAAAAGGCTGGCTCGAGGGGCCTGGTCCAGCGGGCCGCGGCATCGAGTCTCCTTCAGGCCTGCACGCGCCACAGGCCGCAGCCTGGACCGACTCCGCGGTCCCGGCGCGAAGGAGGCAGGCGCTAAGCGGCCGCTGTCCCCCGGACCCGGCCCTTCTCCCGCTCCGCCGGGCAGTCGGGGCAGG